GGTCGAAAAGAATAAACCAGTTGTTTAGAATAACGCATAAAGAAAGATGCGGTCGGATGAGTGAAAAAATATGCCTAATAAGTGAAATTTCCCGAATCCACAGTAGTGGGAAGGGAAATAAAGTAAATGTAGTCCCGAATGCTTTGCTTATAAATATGTTTTCTCATGATTCAACACATCCACGTAAGTATATGAAATTCGCTTTAACGAACAAACCCGCTAATCACTGATTATCATTGAGAAAATCTGTCGACCAATTCAAGGTTAATGTATGACAAAAACCTTGCAGTGACTAAAAAAAAATAATTCCAATTGTCATTCATCATAAAAGACAATGTTGTATTCTGGTCATCTATCACTCTCTCTTCAGAACGTAAAGAAAATATTTGCTTTGTTCTATCGTAATGCTGCAATAGGAAACTACAGGATCTCTCATACAAGCGTTGTAGAAAATCACTGACAATAACAAGTTTCATCTTTCGTTGACAGTGACGACATACAGAAGTGGAAAGATGATCACTATGCGAGATTTACGTCTTAACGATACAAGAGCCACAGAAGATAATTTATTTTCATCACATGACATTATCTACAAAATACGGTCCGAATCATGTCCGTCTCACTCGCTCAAGAGCAGCAATTCTACGTTGGGAAGGATAATCTCATCGCAGCGAAAATAATTTAGTAATTTAAATCCTCTCGTCTGTGTTAGCAGTGTGTTCCTCTTTAACATAGGAATGCCTCAAAAGACGTAGAAGCTAAGCTAACCCGGTTATCACTGTCTTGATGTTAACACAGCTATAATCCAGAGATAGAAGAAAGTCACTGAAGTCACTGCATCAAATTTTACTTTACAACTCTTGTAGAAGCTACTTACTTTCAAGTAAATCAGCCATGCATTACAAAGGCCATCATCTATTTCAGGCCACAGGGCAACAGATTCAAGAGTTTTCTGCAATGGTGATGCATTGATGACTTGCCGGCTACACTCGAAGACCTAAACAGGGGTCGCTTTCTTTGCATGAGGAACAACACAACATACGTTTCGAACGAACGCCTCTGCTAGAGGTTCAAACTCATCCGCACTTAAACACTTGCAGTCAAACACGATACTTTTTATTTTAACACGGTGTAAAATTCACATGTGAAAAAGACACGGGCTTTAAAAAATGTTCGAGACTTTTGCACCAGAATCGACATATCACAGCACCGTCCAGAAACCGTTGTGCCGAAAGAGGGCGAAAAGTTCGACGTAAAACCGCAACCAACAATGCCAAGTTGTTTTTACTGAAGAACCGAAGCTGTTCTCGAAGCGTCGATGACAGTGACGGCAAGCCGGCCTGAAACTGAACATCAAAGCCTGTCCAAAAAACGGAGACGAGCTTCACGGCATCGCACGAAAGTCCAACGGGAGGGACGCCGTTAGAAAGCAGAACAGATGCCGAATCAAAGAATTAACCTCTGAAACAATAAAATTCCAACCGCTAATAAAAGGGCATCGTTAGAAACTGTCATGACCGAGGAACTGTCCAGAAAAGGCACCAAAAATCCTGGGTCTTCAGATGCTAAAATAGGCCACAGTTACAAATACATGTACAAACCATTAAATAAAATTACCCTCGTGGATTTCGTACAGAATAAGAGGCTTCGAATGAGGGTCGTCGATTAGAGAAATCTGCAACTTCGCCTGCTGTACATCGTTCAGGTTTGGACTGACGTCATAGGTAGAGCGGGACAAAACGCCATTTGAAACAGTTGCCCGCTGTCTGACGGTATTGATGGTCGGAAATTTGTCGCCGTGTCGATCAGCAGTTGGTTCCTCCAACTTTTCCAACTGGTTGTCATCGTCTTTCACGTCGGCTGTCTTCCACTGCAGGTCTTGACCGTTTTTGACAAGTGGAGGGAGGTGGAACTTCGGCGACATATGTCGCATGTAGTGCGGTACGACGTTGGCGAGGTCAAAGTCCGGCAATACGTGCAGCACCATCCTCATGTTCTCCTCTCTACAAAGACCACCGGATCGTTGGTGAAGGCCGGACATGGTACCGTCAGAGGTCGCTAAACAACAAAACAAAATCAGCTAAAATTAACCCTGCGACTGAAGCACCTAATATATCTAGAAAATTAACCCTTCATCGGTGCCACTGAAGAACGGCAACGATCAAAGTACCAGATGAATGCATAAGGTAACTCGGCGGGACTCTACTCCTCGGCCGTTAGAACAGCGAAACCGACTCGCAACAAATTCTAAGGAGGTAGTGGCAACGTAACGATGAGAATGACACAACAGTGTATATCTTCAAAGATAAGCATATTTAAAATAAATCAGAAATCGATCGTATGCCCAATCCCTGATGGAAATTTTGAGGTCATGGTTCATCGTGCTCTTTTAAGAAATAAATATGAACAACACTCCGATCGTTCAGCATGACTTTACAATAAGTTGGTCATCGCATAGCGATTTTATCTTAAAAGGAGTAGTACATGAAAAGAAGCCAACCACAGACTGCTTCGCACTGTTATCCAGCCATTTTGTCATTCACAGTAAGTCCAAGTTTACTGCTCGACAACCGTTGTCCACTCAGTACATTATGGATGAGCATTTTGACCACCTTTATTACTTTGAAACTGTAAGATGACTATGACTCGCTTGACCGTGAGTATTCAACTGAACCCTCGAAGACACTCCCGTGGCAAAGACTATGACCCAGTCAACTTGACTAAGTCATACAGACATACGCAAGGCTTTGTTGTTGTACTCCAATTACATTCAATCGCATCTGCGTTGGACAGCATCTAATGCTATGTCTGAAAATTTAAATCACCCGTCTGAGAGTCAGTCAAGTGTGCTGAACAGGCCATCGAACCATTCCATCACCAACAACACTTTTGTTGATGGTGCATGCGAGTAACTCATGGTACATTATACGCTATCCATATTATGGAAATAAATGGTATGCTAAAGTAGACCATGGGAATGAGTCTAAAATGAGAAGAAAGAAAACGTTTTTCATTATGAGAAAATAAACTCAGTGTAGTTGCGGATGAAATCATGTAGAAAATTCACCTCATGTTCTTACAGCATCACAGCCATCGATGATCTGGGACAGTCTTTAGTCTTAACAGTACGATGACAACAACAAAAATAGTTCTAAGACTTCGATAATCCATTTTAAATGAAAACGGGCGTACATATGAAATAGAACGACTCGCCGGGCTTGAACTCGAGACCATTTGGAAGCGGAGTGAACTCCCTCAACGTGAGACGAATGGTGGTTCTGATGTGGGGACTGGTACACTGGCCAACTGGCTGCTCTTCGTGGAGAATACAATTTTCGTAGCCATACCGAGAAACCTTCAAACGAAACATAAGTAAATACAATACGCAGAAAATAAGCGACTAAGTTCTTACCATGTAAATGACGCTGTATTCTGGCCGCTGGCCGTCTCGATGGTGGTGGTGATGGTTATGAAACGGGCAGTGAATTTCTATGAAGTCCATGAGGGCCGCCTCGATGACGATTCCATCGTTATTATTCGCAAATCTAGATGCATCATTAAATCACAACAACAAAAAAGAAAATAAAACAATACACAAATAATCAGCATCCATATCAATTGAGGTAATAAGTAGGAAGCTTCTACGATAGATCAACAACAACTATCAGAGTATAATCTTGAGGAAAATCACTAGAAGCAGGTATCCATTGATGTTGGTCGTAAAATACTATGGAGATACAGCCCGCTTAAATGGCACCAAATATATCTAGAAACAAAGGGGAAGGGCAAATAAGTATGGCTTATATCAGTTTCGAACTTACGAAAGTAATAATTGTTTTACAGATTGCGCTACAAATAAACAGAAATTCGTAGCTGCTGAATTTCCTGCATCCACTTCGAATAGTCTCATATCGACAAATTGCGAAACTTCGAAAAAAAGATCCGCCAAAGGCCTTAGGCATGTGGCACAAATCAATTCATTAGTGGCTCTGTTGCCTCGGCACCAAGCGGTAAGATTCAATTCGCAAAG